CTAAACAGATAGAAAAACTAACTTCATAATCTAGAAGCTGCAATTCAATTAAATTCTACATTTACCTGATAATAAATTGAAGAACATGTGATGCATACACTATTTCTATAATTTAACATGATACATGTATAGAATCAAAAAGGATACCACAAGTGATCAATAAAGCCTCTGAACAGCTTATGTGTCAGTTAGTTCTAATGGGAGAGGGGCCCAGTCTCCCAAGAGGACAGCATTGCTTGATAGAGAGAGAGAGAGAGAGAGAGAGAGAGAGATCCAGACCTCCTTACCGCCAGGCAACTTCACACCAATCACCTAGTTCTTCCATCGTGCTAAAACTTAGTATATTCAAGCGATGAATTTTGTAAATAAATATACCTTTTCAATATAATCATATATTCCACCGACTGCCTTGGGGATGACACCTTCAGGTTGCTGATCTCCCATCATGGTATATGTTTTCCCGGATGATGTCTGCCCATAGGCAAGTAGAGTTCCTGTAAAAACGATAAAATTACCTCAGCAATGTAATTAAAGTCCTTGTGACCAACTGACTCAGTTACAGCCTGTCAAACACCCAATGGGCCCTGTAACTATGGATACTTGAGATAGAGTATGATGAGTGGACAATGAGGAAAAAAAGGTGCGAGGGACCTACAATATACATGACTTGAGACCCTTGGCCTTCAAGGACACCAGCATACAGTACAACTTGTATGTGTTAACAATGTCTTACTTCATCTTACCATTAAACCCATCCAAAGCGGACTGCACAGCTGGTTTTCCAAACTCATCATATACATCTTGAGTTGAAGTTGAAGTGTCAAATATTCGATCTAAGTTATGCAAATGAATATAAATAAAAATTATGTGGAAGGATTGCATTATTGTATTTACTTTTATTCAATGCTTAGCAAATGTACGACATTTGACCAGTTTTTAAATTACACGAAAAAGTTGTCACAACAACGATTTTATAAAGGTGTCAAGCCTCTCTAGCCAAGGGTAAAAACCCCCTGCTGATTGGACACTAAAAATAGAAATTCAGTAATTATAATCATACATGTATCAAATAAATTATTTGATTAAAAATGTTAAAAAATTAATCACTTAGTTAGAATACAGTGTAATGCACATGTATGTATGTGGAGCACCTTTAAAATTATTGCCCTAAATGAGACNTTCCAAACTCATCATATACATCTTGAGTTGAAGTTGAAGTGTCAAATATTCGATCTAAGTTATGCAAATGAATATAAATAAAAATTATGTGGAAGGATTGCATTATTGTATTTACTTTTACTCAATGCTTGGCAAATGTACAACATTTGACCAGTTTTTAAATTACATGAAAAAGTTGTCACAACAACAATGATTTTATTAAGGTGTCAAGCCTATCTAGCCAAGGGTAAAAAAACCCCTGCTGATTGGACGCTAAAATAGAAATTCAGTAATTATAATCATACATGTATCAAATCAATTATTTGATTAAAAATGTTAAAAAATTAATCATTTAGTTAGTTAGAATACAGTGTAATGCACGTGTATGTATGTGGAGCACCTTTAAAATTATTGCCCTAAATGAGACCTTAATCTACATGTTAAACTCTTTAATATAATAGTCTTCTACCCCTTTTCACAGTTCTCTTCTTTTCTTATCTGCATTACTGTACAATCAAACCGTATATGTAGTGTATATAAGACAATTTTGATCAATTTTGTAGTTTCTGCCTAAAATTTCCTCACACTCACGTTTGATTAACTTGAATAAAGATGAGGAAAGCTGATCACGAAAAGCACTACAATTCATACAATTCAGTGACAGGCTCAATTCATCCCTCTCTCTACCCCCTACCGCCTA